TTAATCGCCTTGCATGCATGTGAAAGTTGGACACAGGATAGAGAAGAACAAAGAAGAATCGATGCCTATGAATGATGGTGCTGGAGAAAAACATTGCACGTACCACGAACTGCCAAAAGAACAAACAAATCTGGCTTATAAGAATGGCAGCCAGAATATCCCTAAAAGGGTGGATGGCTAGACTTTGTCTCATTATCAGGAGAGACCAGTCACTGGAAAAAGACACCGGGCTTGTAAAGTAGTGGGCAGCAGAAAAGAGGAAGGCCTACGGAGATGGCTTGACACAGTGGCTGCAGCCATGGACCCACACATAACATTTGTGAGGGTGGTGCAGGACCAGGCAGTAATTTGTTAAGAGTTGGAGCTGACCCGACAGCACCGAACAACAAAAATATCAGGGAACTCTGGCACGGTGGGCCCTGTTTGGATAAGGATGTAAGAGGGCCAGATGATAGAGTTCTGACTCCTCTCCGTGGTCTGAGCCTGGGAACTCTCTCAGGGCAATCATCAAACGAAACCCGGCCATTGAGGCCATTTCTACTTATTGCTAGAACCGTCCCAGAAAGCCTCTGGGCTGTTAGGAAGTGACTGGTGGGTTTAACCTGCCAGCCTTTCCGTTAGCAACGCAACCACTAACCACGGTGACAGCAGGGCTCCTCTCTCACAGGCCTAGGCTGGGGTCCCCTCCTTTGTTTCTCCCGTCGTCGCAGGGCTCACTCTGGCCTGCTGAGAACAACTAAGTCGTGTTGCGTAACTTCTCTTTCCTTTTTGTTTTGAAGGGATGGAGAGATGTTTCAGCAGAGAGATGAAACGTTTCCCCGTCCTTTTTCTCAGCCAGAAGTGGAAGTCGGAGAAGGGCCGGTTACGTTTTATGAGCCGTGTCTCTGAGAGCTGTTGCTCTCAGGTGCTTGGCCAATCACTTTTTCATCACCCCACCAAGCTGTGAGGAAGCTATGAAGTGTGATATTGAGTCATTATGTGCTTAGTCCAAAATAAAAGGTGGGGGAGGTGGCGGATCTTATGTTACTGTTGAAGAAGGTTCCAGAGTACAGTGCCTGTTGGAGAAGTAACCTTTGCCACAGCGACCAAGTTCGTCTCATTCCATTTAGGTGGGGCTACTGCCGCACTCAGAACATCTTTTATTACGGTTCACTGCTCTTAACAGAATGGAGATTACAAGAGAAAACATACATATTTATCTTGAGATATGTAAAAATAATTGATTAAAATTAATTATTTATGATCAATTGATAAGTGCATATCGCATGAGCCTAAAAGATTTATGGAAAATTGAAGTCAAACATAATGGAACTTTTCATGAAATCTTTGAAGCTCCTGTATATATCCACATGTAAACCAAATTAATATACAATAATTAAAGTTAGTTATGTATAGATACAGATATCTGCAATACATTTATGGTAAAAGTTATACATTAATAAAGGAAAGGGTAGATAAATAAGGGATTCTTATTTATGGGAAGGCAACTCAACAAAATAGAGATGTTAGTTCTTCCTCAAATCTTAAATTTAATGAAGTTCTAATGAAACCCCTATAGGAATTTTCTAGTGGAAATGACAAATTGATTATAAATTTTGCACAGAAGAGAAACTGGTTAAAATGTTGTCAAGTTCAATCTAAAGAAGGACGGATTATGAGTATTGATTGACTCATCAGATATCCAAGTTTACTATCAGCAGCTATAGTAATATCGTAGTGATATCAATGAAGGTTTGCACCCAGGCTCTGACTGCCAGATGCCAAGCCCATTATCTTTAATATTATTTTCCTCCAAGGGGATAAAATCTCTGGTCCTTTCTCTTTCACCTTATCTGAATAGATTGTGTGTGTGTATAACACTGCTTCATTGGGTTACTTTCACTAGAAGGAAAATCCACTGTGAGTGGGTGTGATTTGTAAGCCTGTGCTACAGATAAAAGGAGAGTGGAACAGTAATTTCCTTATTTCCATCATGCGACAAAAAGCTGTTCCAAACTTAAGGCTGTTATACAGTGGACAGAAGGCATGGCGCATGCCCACTGAAGGAGGTCAACGTGAGTTTGGTTTGGGCTTGAATGAGGATTATTTATGAGACATGCATGTAGATTTTGTATAGCAGAAATTCATTTATTTTATTTTCTAACCTGATTTTTGAAAAAACAAAACAGAAACCACATTTATTTCTGTGAAGTACCCGTGGGTGTTCTTTATACCCCTGAACAGTAAAGACATCCTCCTCTTAGTGGAATGAGCCCGGAAAAAACAGCAAAGATCTAAAGGAACGTGCTTATGAAGACCCAAGCCAGCCTTACCACTCTTTCTGAATGTGAGCTTCAGATGAGTGACGAGCCTGGTGCTGGGTGTCTAGAGCAGAAAGAAGTAGACAAGGCCTGGGGACCGGAAGCCTGAGCTTCGGCAGAGAGTCCTTTCTGGATATCAGATTCAATTCCCAGTTCCCATTCTTGCCCTGAGCCTCTGTTCCTAAAGGTGGGGACCCCTTCCTGAAGTTAACCCTGAATTTAACTTCTTCCTGTTTGATCTTGGACCCCATGTTTCCGCCCCCTCTCTTCATGCCACAGTGAGATTTCAATTCCAAAGTGGGGGGGGGGGGTGCTAGCAGCTCCAGGTTACCTGGAAATGCCCCTACCAAGTCAAGTTTTGAACCAAAATTTCTTTCCTCTGATTTGGTCCCCACTTTGATCTTTTCTCTCTTCCCTGTCTTATTGCTTTCTTCATGTATGATGTTCTTCATGTTGTTCCACAGCTCATTAGGCCTTCTGCCAATAGTGTTCATTGGGTCAAATCGTTCTTGAAATGTTCTGGAAATTAAGTAGGATATACAAAGGGTCATATTTTGGCTCTGATGAACTTGTTTTAATTTTCTTCAGCTTAGAGGCTAGGATTTACAATACGTCACAAATGAAAAATAGCTCAGCTCACAAATGGGAAAAAAACACACATCAGACCATGAAATGGACAATGATTACATCATTGCATAATTGCCAAGTTACTGGAAATTATGGTCCAGCCAAGTAGACATATATAATCCTTTAAAAAAATTTTTGTCTGGGTTCAACTCTGCTATATCAAAGGCTTGGAAATAGTCACTCTGACCTATGCCACAAGAAAAATAATATGTACACATTTTTTAAATGATTTTTCTTGCATCCATTAGAGCATTGATGTCATTCCATCAGCCCAAAATATGGAGTGACATTGAGGCACTACTCCGACTAGGAAGAAGATGGAAATAAACTGAGTGCTCTTTAGTGCAAGCATAAATAATAAATGTTGGTACATATACACATGGAATGGAATACTATGTATCACTAAAGAATGATTATGAACTTGTGAAATGCCTCTTTTCATAAATGCATTTGAAGGGTATTATGCTGAGTGAAGTTAATTAATCATGAAAGGACAGATATTGTAGGTGACCACTGTTATTTTTTTTTAAATCAAGATAAGAGTTTTTATACCAAAAGAAACAAATTTGATGGTTTTCAGGGTCAGGTGGAAAATGAAGGGCATAGAAAGTAGTAGGGTAGAGGGTATGCATGAGTTAACTTAGGATAAGGGAAAGGTAATATCATAAATGGATTGGGGATTGATTCTATCCACATATAAGAAAAATCAGTTCTTAGTTTAATGCTTGACCTTATGAAGAGATGACTGAAGATATAGATGCTACAGCAAAAGTGTGGTGAAGAAACTAGGTGGTGCTCAGCTATCAGAAAGAAGAACATCTGGGGTCTTAAAGGCTTGTCTTCAAATAAGCAGCCATCTAAATGAGGCATCATCTAAGCCCACATGGCAGAAAAAAACCTCCCTATGTGAACCAAGGACTGTAAATTATAAAATCTGAATCCGAAGGAAGGAATGGTATCAGAGCCTCAACGGTAGCATCTTGTTTGCAGAAGGCTGTGCATGGCAGTTGAGATCAAAATCCAACTGCAGCGGTCACACAGGGATTAAGCCTCTGGTGAATTCCATCTGATCACAGTTGAGGGCTGTGAATGTCATTGTTATTAGACAAAGCATTAAATTGGAATTCACCAGAGCAAAAGAAATAAAGAGTGGCTGAGGCTGGGAAACGTTTTGCATTTTCCCGGTTCCTGGTTCAATGTATTTGTTCTGCTTTTTTCTCCACTGCTGCTTCACTATCTATTAATTGCCATTGATAAGCTGCTGTTTCTCTCTGATTGCTCAACTCCTAGAGTTTCCCTTGTCGTTGTTTTTTAAATTATTTTTATATATTTATATATGCATTCTGGAAGGATTATGTTTATCTACTAACAGTCGTTATTTTTAGTATCTTTGAGGAGATTGAACATAGCATCATATTTAACAAGACATTTTATTTTATTTTTTGTGTGTGGATTTATTTTTTTTTATCATTTTTTTAAGTCAGGACTCTTACAAATCTTATGACAATCCATCATTCAATTGTATCAAGCACCCTTGTACATATGTTGCCATCAACACTTCCAAAACATGTTCTTTCTACTTAAGCCCTTGCTATCAGTTCCTCTTTTTGCCCCCTTCCTCCCCACCTCCACCCCTCGTGAATCCTTGATCATTTATATATATTATTTTAGCAAGATATTTTAGCAATTTTTTATAATACATGAATTGCATTCAGGTAGAGCAAATCCATTTCCATTCAATAATTCCAGATAACTTCTCCCTAAGTAAAGAAAGTTCAGAACCTGCAGATGGTCCCAGAATCTAGATGAGAGTCCCCAATCCGCTACTTCCTAGTCTGCCCCCTCCCCCACCTGAGGAGACAAGGGAATAGAGAGCAGAGGACTGAGCTTGGAGATGGGCTGAGACTGAGTTGTTTGTGTGTCGTGTGAGGTGGTGTTAGACTGAAGTGTATAGAACTTCTACCCATAAGAAGAGCAATGTATTCTCTTCATAATTGCAAGTGGTAGCGATATACCCACCCAGAGTTTTTTTATATGATGTGAGGCAGAGGAGAAGACAAACAGGATGCAGGATTGTAGGAATTTCAGGATTTATTATGTCTCATTGTACACACTCACAGAGTCAGCCAGAGTAGCAGGGTGAAATCCGTGACAGTAATAACTTCCCTCAGGCAGAGGCACTGGTCACATGAGGTTGGGGTGGGACTCGCTGGAGGTAGAATCTGGGCAATAACTTCTCCTTCCCCTCACTCTCATCAAAGAGACGAGGAGACGTGCTAAGTTACTAGGGTCAGACAAGTTCACAGATGAAGTGGGCCACCCTTGTTGGGGAGCTGAGGCAACCTGGGCTGTGGCTTTCCTTTTGGTTGTGTGCAATGGTTTAAGGGCCTCTAAGACACTGGGGTTAGTTACTGCTGGTTGGAGGGGCATTGCGGCTCCTGCTCCTGAGGCTGCTGCTGCTTTATAGGGAACACTATCTCTCCCGCTGGGGGCTGGACTTCCTGGATCTCTTGGTCCTGGTCAGGCACTGGGACAAGCACAGGCTGATCCTCCTGCTGCACCGGGAGCTCAGCCTGCGCCTCCTGATGCTGCAGAAGCTGCTCTTCTTTCTGTTTCCGGTGCTCATCTTTCTCAGCTAGCTCGTGATCCACTTGCTGATCCGAGAGCTTCTGCTCCTGGTCCAGCTTCACGTTCAGCTGCTGCTCCCTCTGTGTCTTCTTTTGTTCTAGCTGCTGCTCTACAATGAATGCATCCTCCTGCTCCTGATGCTGTCTCTGGTGCGGTTGGTCCTGTTCTTGTGGCTGCTGCTGTTCCTGATGCTGCTGTCCATGGCCCCAGTGCTGCTGTTCATCCTCCTGGGGGAGCTGTTGTTCACACTCAGCTTCCGGTGGCTGCTGCTGTGGCTGCTGCTGCTCCTGGTGCTGCTGTTGCTGGCACTCTTGCTCAGGCACCCCCTTCCCAGAGGGGTGTTTCTTCCTCTGCTCAGAGGGGACTTCCACTGGGAATTCAGAGGGCACCTTCTGGCATGGGGCTGGCTGTGGAGTTGAGTTGTTCACTTGCTCATGCTGGGTATCGATGGAAGGAGAAACCGTCTGGAGGGACTGCTGATTGACAGCAAGAGGGAGGGTCACTGGCAATGTGTCCTGCTGAGACATTTTGGAGGGCACTTCGGGTTCACCTGAAACACAAGAGAGATCAGACGGGTAGATTGAAATTGAAGGCAGTTGATGCAGAGCCCTGAGGAAATCTGCATCCATGCTCGGTTTCTGAGCAACCCTGAGCTTCCACTGGGGCCTCTTATTCCCCAGACGCAGCAGAAGGTTTCCTGTAGGGTTGTGGAGGGACAGGGAAAGGACCCTCCTCAAAGAAGCTTCCTTGTTGCCAAACAAGAGCCAACAAAAGATCTGTCTGCAGAAAGGTTCTGCAGGGGTGGGTTGGCTACCATTTTTGTCATCTTCTCCTCTTGTCCTCTGTCCTCACCTCAGACTTCCACTCCCCAAGCAGGCGGGTGGCGGGCTCTGAGCTTAGGTGACAACACGATGAAAGGCCCTAGGAATGAAGAGTCTCCTGGGGGAGTCCTTTGTCCAATAAGCTATGACGGAGCAGAACAAAGAGGTCACAGTGAGCATGCTGGACTACAGTTTCTTGACAGTCTGCTCCGACCTTCTCCACTAACTTGCTGTGTGCTTCTGGACAGCTCGCTTCCCTGCTCTGCAAAATTAGTAGGCTGGTATCGTTCCACTCCAGGGCTCTTCTCTCCAAACCTACCCGTGCCTCCTGCTCACCTCCACCCAGACCCTTCCTGGGTTCTGCACATAGAAATTTCGACTCCCGCCTCTTGTAGCACATCCAAAGGGTACAAGTGTTTGTTTGAAACCCTCTGTTCCCATATAAAAAGAAATCACAGTCACCTTCAATCATAACCATTTTAGACAAGAAATTGGCTCTGATCCCACTCCTCCTTGTCGTGTTACTTCTCACACATGAGCAAAACACAACGTAAACAAAAACAGTTGCCCAAGTCAGTTCTAACTCAAGACTTGTCCGAATAGAATGGCTTCCAGGCCCTTGAACGGCCCATTCCCAGACCTTTCTCTTGTGTGTTTTATTGCCAGCCATTTGATGAGCCATCGGTCACCTGACTGTTTGCACCCCCTTCACTGATCCTCTGTCTCTTGTCTCTGTCTCGGTCCCAAAATATGGGCCTGAGAACAGATGGGACGAGAGGCAGTTTTTGTCTTCTCCCTTCTGTCTTCTCCATGCGAGGGCACATTTCCCACACACAGCCATCTGAACCCTCAGGAAGAGAAGGGAACAAGCTGAATCCAGTCAGGGAGGGATTCCTGTAGGTCCCCAGCCAGTCAAGCCTCAACCACACCCTGGCTAGCTGGTCCCAACACTGGTCTGCCCACGACACTTACCAGGCTCACAGCACAGACTGGGTGAGAGGCTCTAGTGCACTGCTGAGCTGCATATGGCCAGTGCAGGGTTTATATGACCCCTGCCTGGCCTCCTCCCAGTGTAAAGGGAATGGACTGGTTTCGCCACTCAAGTTAGTCAACTCCCTCCAGCCCCTCTCTGACTCATCTTAGTCACCCTAAACCACAACCCCTCAGGGCCCCTTTCCACGAGGACACATAGCTCTGGGCTTGCCAGGGGACCCTGGGGGCTCAGCTGCTCCTGTGATGCTCAGCTGACCTAGGCACAGGAGGGGCACCTGCCCCAGTTTTCATGTTTCTGTGACCTAGCCAAACTCCCCTGTGTCTTGATGTCTTCACTGGTAAAGTGGGATCATCTTCATTAGTTTTCTGAGGGATTCATTTCCAAGGACGTGGAATGAAATGCTGTGTGCATTTCTGAGAAGTCTAGACCTTTGTACATTTCAAAGAGGAGAGAAGATTCAAGTTTCCTGTAAAGGGGGGATTCTCCCGACCACAAGTCCCCAAGACTTTTCTCTTTGGAGATGTAGCTGTAATTCCATTCTGTGTGGAAAGAAACTCTGTCCTGGTGGTGTCTGCCTTTCAGCCACGCTGAGCCCAGGAAAGGGCTTCTCGTAGCTGCCTGCCATGTCACAGGAGTTGCCTAGCCTCCTTGTCCACTTTCAAAGGTAGGTACAGAGGTTTGTAAGAATGCCATGTTCCAAAGCTTGGACCACTCCAGGCAAAGAAACAGACATTCAAGACATGACGGACTTCAAGGGGCCACCAAAAATTTCATTATCTTTTCATTTCACTTTTACATGAACTTTTTGGAACCCACTCATACATACGGAGCCCTGGTGGTGCTTGGCTACTAACCGAATGGTTGCCGATTTGAACCCACCAGTTTCTCTGTGGAAGAAAGATGTGGCAGTTAGCTATTGTAAGATTCACAATCGTAAAAACCCTCTGGGGTCATTTTGCTCTGTCCTACTGGGAATCTATGAACTATGAGTCCAAATTCAACTGCTGTTAGGTGCCATGGGGTTGGTTTCCATCCCTACTGACTTCATGTATGACAGAATGCAACACGCCTCCCTGGTCTTGTCCCATGCTCACAGTCTTGCTATGTTTGAGCTTGCTGTTGCAGCCTTTGTGTCAACCCATCTCCCTGTTGGTCTTCCTTTTCAATTTTGACTGCTTTTTTACTTGACCGAGGCGATGCTCTTCAGGAACTGGTCCCTCTTGATACCATGCCCAATGTCTATGAGACAAAATCTTGCTGCCCTTCCTTCCAAGGAGCGATCTGGATGTAGTTCTTCCAACACAGGTGGGTTCATTCTTTTGGTAGTCCATGGTCTACTCAATATTCTTTGCCAACAGCATCATTCAAAGCCATCAATTCTTTTTTGGCCTTCCTTATTCATCGTCCGTCTTTCACAAGCATCTGAGGCGATTGAAAATTGACATGGCTCATGTCAGGTACACCTTACTCTTTCATTCTACATCCTCTTCTGAATCTGGTTTTAATTTCTAGTAATTCTCTATCCATCTATCTGATGGGGAAGTCTCCCTATGTACCACTGCAACTGAGGAGTGGTTCATTCTACAACACATGGGGTTCTGAATTTTTACTTGTGCATGTTATTACTGCATTATTTGACAATTTTCACATTCCATTGGATTACCTTTCTTTTAAATGGGTACATATATGGTAAAGTTTGTTGTCCACATAACTGTCCACCACATTTCTTGGCATACACAAAGTGAGCACTTCCAATAATTCATGTGTTTGTTGAAACATCTTGATTGATAATCTGTTCATTCATATTTTATATATGTACCCCAAACCAAACCAATTGTCAACAAGTTGACTCTGACTTACAGTGTTCCAACTCACAGCGACCCTATACAGAAGTCCTGAGGCTGTCAATCTGTATGGGATCTGATTGTTCCAGACTTCTCTCAAACAGCAACTGTTGGGTTTCAACTACCAACCTTTCAGAAAGCAGACCAATACTTATGCGACAGCACCATCAAGGCTCTCTTTCTCTCTTGCATTTGTATATAATGTTCTTGGTGTGTATGGCATTTATATATAATGGTTTTCCAGGGGGTTTTCATTGGTGGCACGGTGACTATAAATTGGACTACTAACCACAAGTTCACCAGTTCAAACCCAGCAGCCTCTCCTCCTTCTCTGGAATTTTTCTTTGATGTGCTTTACACACTGATAATAACTAGTGTATTTATTTCCTTTGTCTTCGTTGTTTATTGTACATCTTTTCTACTAAAAAGGAAACTCGATAAGGGCAGGCTTTTGGCAGGTATTTCCCCTGTATCCGCAGGACTTGTCTCAACCAACACTTGGAGCCCGTGCTCTCTAGATATGACTTGTCTAGCTCGGATAGGGCAGCTGGTTGAGACGCTTATTTGCTCACCAGAAGGATGCAGGTTTGAGTTCATCTCCAGGTTCTTGGGAAGAAAGTCCTGAAAATTAACTTCTAAAAATTCAGCCATTGAAAACCCAGTGCAGCAAAATTGTACTCTGACACAATGGGTCACCGCTAGCGGGGACGGATTTGACAGGAACTGGTAACTCTTAGCTGAAATAAATGAAAACAGTGAAGCTCACTAATCGGAGATAACTACTATTGAGTATTTCAGTACCCGATTGTGTACAAAATTAGAATTGTGCCTTAGCTTTAATAGTTGGTAAAAACTTAATTTATGGATATTATTTGTGCAAACCCTCTACAATCTAAGTAAAAAAAAAATAAACATGAAAATAATATGAAGACCAAAAAATGCCATTGGACTGCGAACCAAAAGGTTGATGGTTCAAACACACTCGTCACCCTGTGGGAGAAAGTTGAGGATTTCCACTCCTAGGAAGATGTTTAGGGTCTTTGAGTTAGACTCAACTTGATGGCTGTGGGTTTGGGGGTTAATTTTGAGAAGTACCTCAATTTACCATAGTTTTCCCAACTTCCAATCTGATCTATTTGCAGAACTTCCCCCATGCTCTTGGGGCTCAGTCTGGAAAGGCACGTGGAGGACTCGCTAGGGGTCCCCTGGACTTTGATCTACTATACTCTCCTCTGTTCCCTCAGCCAACCTGGGGCTTCACTCTGATTCCCCGTACACTTGCCATTTTCTGAGGCACAGAAAATCCCTTCTGCCTCTCATCTCTGGGGGAAGCTTCCAGGGCGCCAAGAAGCCCTGATGCCCCACAGCTGACCTCACAGCATAGGAGCCGGCCTCTCCCATGGTGGCTCCAGGAAGTCACACCAGTCATATGGCTTTCCAGGGTTCAGTATCTGCCAGATCTGCCTCCCGCCCTCTGATTCACAACATAATGAGAACCTCTGACAGCTGGGCAAATGGAGGGTATCGAGGACTAAAGGTGGCCCTGGGGGAGTGTACAGGGGCAGGGTATTGGAAAAGCCTCCGTGCTGTAGGGATCAAAGGTACCATGCTCTGCCCTCCTTTGCTTACCCCACTTGGAAAGCAGGTACATGAGTGCATGGCGAAGCCTCCGTCCCTGTGAGCGTGACCGCCATGCTGAGTCTGACCTGCAGGGACAAGCCTCTTTTCTGGTTATTTTCCTGTCAGAGCCACAAACTGGCTGTTTTTCTCTTTTTTCTCTCATATGAGGCAATCACTTTGAACGGATGCTTAGTTGTGAGGGGAGGAGGGCTGGCTCATGCCAATTCACTGCTGAGAACGGCTCTGAGTAAGATGGCAGAGGGTCCTGGGAAAGTGACCTGGGCCAGGAAATGACACACTCCTATCTTACATCATCATGGCTAGTCTACCTTCTGGCAGGGCAGTGCCCCCACACTCTGAGGTAGTTAACCTCCTCACCCTTCCCATAATCCAGCCACGTCCTCTCCTGGTCCTGATCCCAGGGTTCTTAGTTTTCAGTCTGCACTGGTCCCTTCTCCACATGCTCAAGGTACAGATACCTCCTGAGCCTAACCTCAGCCCTTGAATCACCTTTTGTGCCCATCTTCTTCTCCAGGAGAATGCAGCAAGGAAAGGAGTTACGAGCAAGGGAGAGTCATCGGAAATGATTCTTCCTTTTGGATCTGTGCCATTGGCTTTTCCTGAACCATTATCTGACTTTCTGTGGCTGGCCTATTGCATTGCTGGTTCTCCCATTACACCTCTAACACTGGCCTGTGCTCTAGACATGATACTCACGGAGGGACAAAATTGGGCTCTTCAAGCAGAAAAAGGATCGAAGGTAATAAAGGCTCTCAATAGAGGGAAAAAGAGATGTTCAATACTCCTTCCCTAGCTGGAGGGAAGGTGCTGCTTCTTGGGTTCACTCTTTGGAAAACGACCTTCTCTGAAGTTGATTGGCTGCACCAGAAGCCAGTCTGAGCCGGAGAGATCATTGCAGAACTATGTGGAAGTATGTGGGAAATGTTGCACTCTGTGCCCTGTTGTTTAACATAAAAACAGAGATGAAAAAGCGACAGGACAGTCGCTGCCCTATTGATTTCAACGTATCGAAACCTCCTGTCGTTCAGAGTACAGCTGTGTGCCATTGGGTTTCCCTCTGTGACCCGTTAGGAGTAGATTGCCAAAACCTTCTCTTGAGGAAAACCTGGGTGGACCAGAGCTGCCAAATGTGTACTTAGCAGCAGAGCCCTGTGCCATTTCTCCCACCAGCTCAACACAACCTGGTGCACAGGAGCTCAGAAGCACAGTCTCTTTCTTTCCTGCATGATTCATCCCTCTTCATACCTATGGGGATTAAATTTAGAGAGAAGGCACCACTTGTCTAAGGACCAGAGTGAGTCTATGAAAGAGCTGAGCTGGAACCCAGGCATTCTGACCCAGGTGTTCAGCATACAATGGCTGTGTGACAGGTTACACTCATTGTCCTCAGAGATATCTGACTCCATGGCAATCATCCACTCCAGTGCCGTCAGTTCTGCCTCTCCCAGAAGAAGGGTGAGCCTTCTGGCTCTGATCCAGCCAAAATGATCTTGGAAGGGCCTTCAGTGAGCTTAGGAACAGAGCTCTCTGCTTCCCCACTGATT